AGCCTCCATTGACAGGATCACATTGGCTGACACTCATTTTATGCAAAATAAAGAATGTTACAGTAGGAAGCTGGCCCTGGGTTTTTGTCCTCCCTGAAGCAAAAGTCCTGGTCATTACTGCTGTAGCCTGGCCTGCAGCCTTACTGACAGTGCCTTCTCCAAGCTTGGTCTGTGAGCCAGCTTGGCAGGATCCCTGATAAAATTGCTGCTTTCTGGCTCACCTGCAGGGAGTCTGACCCAGCCTCATTCCTACAGTGGGCCCAGCAACTGCCTCATTTCTACCGGGGCTCCCCACAACATGATTAGGTTTGCAGAAGTTGGAGAACCATTGCATTGGTATTGCAGGACTTTCTGCCTCGGAGTAGAGCTTTCACTCCCAATCAGACGTACAAGCCCCGTCTAGGTTTGTAACCTATGCCACTCATAGCCTCCACGCCTTTGACCACCCCGCCGCTGTGCTCAGAACTCCCTTTTCACCTCCACTTCCAGCCTGGGTTCCCTTGGGAGGTCATTCTGTACCCTAGACACCCCACCCCCAACATACTTCACTCCCAGTCAACCCGGTTATTTTGTGAGTTCACCTCCACCCTCTAGCGTACACTGTACTATATTTGGCAGCTTCGCCGCACAGCACAGTATGTGCTTACGACAATGAACCCGATCTTTGAGATTTATGAAAATAAGTTAGTTTCAGAAACAGCTAACTAAACGTGGCTGTTTAGCCCGGGACACTGGCCGGGTACCGGGCGGACCACCTCAATCAGCATTGTGGCAGCGCTGACTGGGCGCGGAGCTTTCATACCTTCTGGACCCGCCCCCGCACACACCGCCCAAGTCCCACATGGGCTACGCCCCTCCGCACGCGTCACCGCCCCCAGCTGTCACTGGCGCGTCTCCGAGAGTTGGGCGAGGATTTAAATCGTCACGTCTCTGAGTTCATTGGTTTTTCACGCGGTGCCGGCTTAACCTTCATTGGCTAGTGCGCGGAGAGGGTGGAGTTCGGCATTCACCCCCTGACATGGCCGAAGGCAGCAGCTGGCGAGTAAGTATGGTGGGTGCCAGGGACCTGCCTGGGCCTCGTCGGACCGTGTGACCGGTTTAACCGAGCCCTCTCGCGGGAAGGGGGAGGGATGGGGCTCCGGGACGGGTGGCGCAGCTGCCTCCGGCTCAGGCGCGTCTCTCGCCGCAGCCGCCGCGCCCTTGCGAGACCTACCGCGCGGAGTGGAAGCTCTGCCGCAGCGCTCGGCACTTCCTGCATTACTACTACGTCCACGGCGAGCGGCCGGCCTGCGAGCAGTGGCGGCGCGACCTGGACAGTTGCCGCGAGTGGGAGGAGCGCCGGAGCGCCGAGGCCCAGGTGCGCTGGGGAGGCTGAGGGTGGCGCTGGGGTGCATCACCAGGACATCCGAATGCACGGGCCACCTCTCCCCAGGTTCCAAGACCCGAGACTGGAGAGGAGCACTGCCGGGTTCCCTCCTCTTTTTGTGCTTACCTTCTTTACAGAAATACTAAAAATTAGTATGTCAATGGAGCATTCAAACACTGAAATATAAAGCAAGGAGCGGAGTGTAGAGTGGTTTGGAAAGAGAAGAGCCCCCCCCCCCCCGCAACATTGTTAGGGTGGTAGCTGAATTGCAGAGGAAGTGATATTGCTGAGTCCTGAAAGACCAGGAACCAGCCTTAGCAACTTGTCACCCAGCCTCAGGCGGTCATGATTGAGAAGCAAGGTCCAGGTGCTTGGAGCAGAAGGGTGGTGTTGAGGATTAGGGGGGATGAGGCTGGAGAGGTACCAGGGACCTGGTGGGCCTCTAAAAAGGGTTTAGATCTAGCTTAAACGTGTGCTAGAAAGCATTATTTGATTTATACCTTTCAAAGGTCAGCCTGGCTGCCAGAGTGGGAGAGTACATGACGGAGGGGGGCACAGAGACCAGTAAGGAGGTGGTTTTAGTTGTCGATTCATTCAGATATTTATCATGTTGGTCACCCTTGGGGATACAGGAGTGATGAGAACAGTGCCCCTGACCTCCTACCACCAACATTCTAGTCTAGAGAACAGTGTTGCCTTGGAACTGTTGTGGGTGGGGGGATGGAGAGAAGCTGTGAGGGTGCAGTGCTCCTAGGGAGTGCCTGAGGAAGGGGAGCCTGCAGGACTGGTGGCTGCTTTAATGTTGTTATTATTGAGACAGACAAACTGATGTGGAAACCAAGCTGCTGTATAAAAGAAAATGAGGACAAGTTTATAAGTGGAAGTCTAAACGGGAAAGATTTCTTGCAGCCTATATGGCAAGAGATTAATAATCTTTATGTATGTATGAACTCTTATATACCAGTAAGAAAAATGGGGATGATTTAAGAATAGAAAAATTGGCGAAGGACACAAAGAAGGTATTCATTCAAAGAGAAAACCAAACTGCCCTTGTGTACAAGTTAAAATGACAATAAGTGGTTTCTACCTAGCGGAATGTCAGAAGTGTCGCTGGGGTTTTTAGAGAGTCCAGGGGTGCTTGTGCAGTGTTGGTGGAGTGTCAGGTGTTCTGGGAGTCTTTCATATTCTACTTTGCATTTCTGATCACTTGTTAAACCCAAACAAAAACATCTATTTGTGACACTAGAGCTTAAGTGAAGACAAATAGACAGAGAAGGTGAAATGAATATGTTGTAGAGGCCAGCATAGCACCAGGCACCTACCAAGTGCCCCTATCATGGTTGTGATGTACTGCCCTGTGTTTATTTTGGGGAGAGAGTAGCAGAGAAAAGCCTATAGGTTGAGTGGCATGTGTTGTTATCTGGACTCCTCCTCACCTGTCCAGGGCTCCCTGGGCACGTATCTCTTGCCTCATCTTCCCCCCCTCTAGCCACTCTTTGAGACGCTTGTCTCTCCTTCCAGCACAGCCCCCAGCTGGTCTTAGCAGGTGAATATGATTAGGTCAACGAAAGGCATCAAGCGCTGAGGCCCAGGAAAAGACATTTTTCAAATTTCCTCAAAGTATGGTGATCTACACAATACACTTGACCCTTGAACAATGTAGGTTTGAACTGCATGGGTCCACTTACTGCGGATTTTTAAGTGGACCTGTGCAGTTCAAACCTGTGTTGTTCAAGGGTCAACTGTATTTTCAATCTGCAGTTGGGAATCTGCATATGCCAAGGGCCCACTTAAATTATATGCAGATTTTCAACTGTGTGGCAGGTTGTCGCCCCTAACCTCCATGTTGATCAAGGGTCAGCTGTAGTTTTTCACAGTCACTTGGGAGAAAGAATGATCTACGTCTGTGTGTCCTAATATAGAACAATTGCCAAGGTGTATTGGGGGAAGCAGAGTTTCAGAGTGGTGTGTGTACCATACATTCTGTTTGTCTGTGTTTGGGAAGGTGCTGAGGAGGAGGGAGGTACAAGGGCCATTTGAGGTAGTAAGTGACCAAGGTCTCCTTTGCACAGCAGTCCCTCTGTGAGAGTGAGCGTGCGAGAGTCCAGGCTGCACGAAAGCATGCGCTGGTGTGGACCCTGAGGCAGAGCCCCCCTGCAGACTGGCATCTCCCTCTGCCACCGGAGGAGAAAGACAAGTGACAAGCACACCTGCATGCCTTACTCCGGTCTGTTTCAAGTGGGGCTGGTGCACAACGCTAAGGACAGTGACTGGCCCAAACATTCTAGTACGTGGGAGCTTCTGCCTGGCTTGGAACATGGAGTCCAACATATCCAGCCCTACTTGCCCACCCCTGACCTATGTTCAGGGTGCCCCACTGCTTCTACACTCTGGATGACAATTTTGCCCACAGCACAGCTTCCAGGAAGCCAAGCACCATTGCAAATTGCTGTTAGCAGCCAGGTTGCACTGGTTCATGTTCCCCCCTGGCAATAACAGCACAGGCGATGGCTGTCCTGAGGTCTAGAATTCTCAGGTAAACTCTTGAATGGTAGCTGTGTCCTATGTGGACACAGAGGGGTCAGCATGAGGTAGCTAAATGGATGTGCTGCCATGAACACTTGATCCAGCCCTGGCTTGGTGATGACCATGCATTGCCAGCCACTGGTGCTTGCACTTGGCTATGGCCCACTTGCTCAGTTCCTCTGTAGACAGAGGTGGGACATTATCTCTGGACCAGCATGCTCCATCTCCTAGGCACACAGGAGGTGAGATTCTGGCTTTTAAGAAATGCACACAGCTACAGAACACACCACCTTGCATACAAAGGGTTCATGGACTCGGCTTAAGAGACTCAAGACTTAGGGAATTTTGGCCTGCGAACCTTAAAATTTCCCCTGATCATTTTTAGAAAATGTAGAATATGTCAAAAGCCATTTAGATTCCAAAGAGAAGCTGAAAATTAAAACCACAATTTAATTGTTGAAATTGTTAGATTTCGCATCTGACATTGTGCTCGGACAGTTAGAATTTTTTATGCTTAGATTCCTGTAAATGTTTTAAGTCTGTATGTGTATGAACCAACAAGAACGCTAGTTTTTGAAGATGTCTCATTACCCATAAAATGATTTAGCATCTTATGACTTCATAGGAGGCCCCATTGTAGGGTGCTCAGGGTCAGGCCAGCCCCATGCCCCATGCCCCCCTGCTCTCTGGGCCCACTGGGTCTTAGTACCACCCTCATGACTGGGCCCCAACCTGGCCACAGGTGGTCGGTCAGGCATCTTTAACTCATTCTTTGGGACAAAATAATGTATGACTTGAGGGCATACATAAAGAATAAAATGTCACCTTATGTACATTTCCTCCTGTGTACTCCTGTGAATGCATGTGTACCTGAGTGGTGGGGGGTACACATAGGACCCCAGAAGCCCCTCCCTGTGTGTGTGTGTACCTATGAGTGGTAGGGGAGCACATAGGACCCCAGGATCCAAAGAGTCAGGAACCCCCACCCCAGGGGGTAGCCTTGATGCGTCTGAACCAGCCAGAATATCTCCATTGTGGCTGTAGCTGCTTTCATGAGCATTTCTGATGTCTGGCCAAGGAGGAAAGAGGGAAGGCTGCTAGAGATTTACAAGCATTCTCCTTCCTCAATCTGAAACACATGGAAGGGACATTTGAATTTTGTGATTTGCATGTGATGCCTGAACTTGCAGCAGCTTCCTTGGGACTCCTGGGGTGGGCAGGAAAAGCCTGAGAGCAGCAACCAACACAGCAGTCCCGAGGTGCTCACCTCGTGGGAGCCACAGTCCCTGTCATCTGCTTAGGGCTGGGGGTTCCCTGCAGCTGAATGCTGTTTTAAGAGGTTCTATTCCTTCTTGGCTACTCAGAGTCCCACGTTGAGATAATCATCACTCTGGACAGAACAGTCCCGCATCTGCTCCTGTGTTCACCCCTTCACAACATCTGAGCACCGGCTACATGCTGGGTGGGGTTTGAGACTCTGGGATCATAGCCTTGCAATGGATAAGTTTCCTTCAAAGAACTGCAGTTGTAGGAATAGTAGTTTAGGGGACCGACATAAATATTTAAACATGAAATGAAGGTCTAAAATGATGGTAAGTGCTATGAAGAAAATGGTCAGTCATAAAATAGAACAGTGTCTTTCAAACTTTTTGGACAGAACCTATAGCAACAAGTATGTTATGTTATAATCTGGTACATACTGTTATAGCATATTTTTTGTTGTTTTAAATCTAAGCAGTCATTATCTTGTTTTAAGTGGGTACAAAAAGTCAATAACTTTGATTTAAAAAATAAAACGACAGAAAAACATTACTTTGGTTATTTCAAAAGCAAAAGGCTGTAATAAATTCAACAAGTTTCACAAAACCTTGTCTGTACCTGTGATTCACTGACATGTTTAGGCCTGTGCCATTGACAATAAACTGCTGTACAGGCAGCAAATTAGATGAAACTCAAGGAAAATATGCTGTTTAAAAAATAATAATAATAATTAAGGGCTGGCCAAGTGGCGCGTTGGTTAAAAGTTGGTTTGGGACGCCAGCTCAGCAGCAGGGCCACTGGTTCGGATCCCACATGAGGGCAGTGATGCTGCGCCCTCTACAGCTAAGATGGGGAACAACAGCTCGACCTGGAGGTGGGTTGCCATGAGTTGCTGGCGACGGCGTTGGCTGCAGCGGGGCTGGCCGGCAGCGGGCATGAACTTTCATGAGCTGCCATGAGCAGCCATCCAATGACCGGCGAGCAACTCCCTCAGTTGGGAAGAGCGCAACTATAATACCAACATAGGCCAGTGAAGCAATGTCCTCCACAACTAGACTGTAGAACAAAAGGACAGCAACTTGTCTGTTCCCCTCTTGCAATTTCCCAATAAAATCTTTAAAAAAAAAAATTTTTTTTAAGGGATACATAAAGCATGGTCCCATTGATCCAGTACTGGAAATCGGTTCCTGGTGTGGTGTGGCTATAAAGGGGTGGTGATGGTATCTTGACTGTGGTGGTAGCCAGGGCTACATGTGTGAAAAATTGTGTCATGCTAGACACACACAGATGAGTGAAGATTTAACAGGAAATCTGAATACACAGGTTTGTATTAGTGTCAGTCCCTGGGAACTACCGGTATGTAACATGTTAACACTGGGAATGCACACAGCACCTCCCTGTATGTTTATTTGCAACCTCCTATGAATCTATTTAAAAATAAAAAGTTAAAACTGCTTACCGTGACCCATTGAATTCATTATAAAACTTACTATTTTAAAAGCACTACTACCAAGCACCTGCAATGGGCAGGGAGGTGGGGAAGGCTCAGCATCTGAGCACAGAACTGGATGAGGAGGCTCAAGCCCTGCAAGGGGCCACAAAGCCATGTGCTGGACCAAGTGCCATGTGCTGATGGGGGCTATAAGATCAGGGGTCTAGACACGATTCTTGGGGTGGTGGTTTGCCAAATGCCTGACCTGACTTGCATCTTACAGAGCCCTCTGGCTGCTGGGCAAGAAGGATCTGGGGTAGGATCAGTATGGACAAATCAGTTGGCTGCTGGCAAACCAGCAGTGTAACAGGCAGACAAAAGGCAACAAAGGTTTGGACCTTGGAGATAGCACTGAGGTCATGAAAAGTGTTTGGGTTCAGCATTCATCTCAGATAGAGCCAAAGGACTTAGAATCCTTAGGCAATGTTTTTATGCAGTAAAAACCTTTATCTGGTAAGTTTTTAAACATTAAGTGAACCACAC